TATATATATATATATATATATATATATATATATATATATATATATATATATATATATATATATATATATATATATATATATATATATATGAATGTTGTGGTTTCCCACGTTTTACGATTCCACTCGTGTAACGTTATGTAGAGGTTTTTGAGTTGTTTTCAGACGAGTGTATAACAAAAGCGGGCAAGCAGAAAATTCTACTTGACCGCGGCTGGGATTCGGACCCGCGACCTTCGCATTTCTAGAACGATGCTCTACCGTCTGAGCTACAAGGTCAAGTTGAGAACGACTTGTTTTCGCGGGTTCGAATCCCAGCCGCGGTCAAGTATAATTTTCTGCTTGCCCAGTTTGGTATACACTCGTCTGAAAACAACTCAAAAACCGATATATATATATATATATATATATATATATATATATATATATATATATATATATATATATATATATATATATATATATATATATATATATATATATATATATATATATATATATATATATATATATATATATATATATAATATATATATATACTATATATATATATATATATATATATATATATATATATATATATATATATATATATATATATATATATATATATATATATATCCTCGAAATGCGAATAACATCATAACTTAACACGTCGTTCTCAGCTTGACCTTGTAGCTCAGAAGGTAGAGCATCGTTCTAGAAATGCGAAGGTCGCGGGTTCGAATCCCAGCCGCGGTCAAGTAGAATTTTCTGCTTGCCCGGTTTGGTAAACACTCGTCTGAAAACAACTCATAAACCGCTACATAACGTAACACGAGTGGAATCGTCAACGTGGGAAACCACAACATTCATATATATATATATATATATATATATATATATATATATATATATATATATATATATATATATATATATATATATATATATATATATATATATATATATATATATAGGTTAATCTAGACGAAAAGCCATAAAGGTATATAAGTTAATCAACTCAACACATAACCTTTCGACTCTATTGTCTTCATCAAATATAATCCTACTTTACAGGCGAACCCAATTTATACCCTCCCAATTTTGCTAATTATGCATAATATGAATATAAGTAATTTACCATACAAATAACAATATCCTGTTAACTATAGCTACGCATTCTCTATGTTCAATCCTTCGGGATAGGAGTGAGGGGCCATATATATATATATATATATATATATATATATATATATATATATATATATATATATATATATATATATATATATATATATATATATATATATAATATATATATATACTATATATATATATATATATATATATATATATATATATATATATATATATATATATATATATATATATATATATATATATATCAGCTTATTTGTCACTGGCACATTGATGCCCAAGCCCTAATCTCTAAACATAAAACCTATCCCGAAACTCACCCATATTTATCACTACGAACCATCTTATCAAAAAGAAGATCAAAATAGGCTAAATATAAGTTCTAATGTTTTAGACATTAATTCAATTTACAGCCGGAAATTCTAACCTACTCCAATTCTCTTCTGTCTGTCTTCAGCCTTTTGTGCTACATTCAACAATTGTCTCAGCTGGACTGCTTCACAATATTATTTGTGACTGCTCATGGGGAACGGACAAACACAATTATACACAAGTCAATTAAATGAGTTAAATGTAGAAGGCGATCAACATCAGTTTTGCTAATCTTGTAACCCTATTATGGCAGAGTCACTGCCGTGGTACCATGGATGTATCTCAAGCAACGAAGCCATGAGAATCTGCACAAGAATTGGCAAAAATGGTGCGTTTCTGCTTCGTGATAGTCAACGTGATCGAGAGGCATTTACATTGTCTGTGTTGTAAGTGTAATCTATGCTCGTATTGTATAAAGCATTAACTTTAATTAACTTTTGTCCGAGGCTGATGTCTTTAATACTCTTTAGTTGGCAGTCCTATTCTTTGCTAGACGAAACTGTATAGACGTGTGTCACAAGTTAGCATGCGATATTGACAGACAATTGTATTATACTTTCTGGGCATTAATAATTAAAATAACATTCAAGTGAGGTAGACATTTTTTCGACAGTTATCATCCTATAATGTATATGGCAAAAATATTTCGACAGCTTTCTGACTTTCAGTTTCGTTGATAACGATCGAGCTGTGCTTTACAACGTATACCTCATGGAGTCTAACATTT